TGTCTTTTACAATATTTTTTCAAACTGATCATTCCCTTTTGGCCTAACAACATCTTATTTGTTATTATATCAAGATATAATATTATATTTGCATCGTGTTGGACTTTTACTGGCTCAGAATCAACAAGATCAGTCAGATCACAAGGGACATTAAAACAGCTTATCGTCCTTATCAACATTAAAATATTGGAAAAACCGGGTCTAGAATCAACCTTGTAGTATATTTAACATGCTATACAGTATTACCATGCAGATCTGTTTCTTAGTTCTTTGACAGTCTAACAGTTGTCTAACAGTAATACTACAAAAGAGGCTCCTTTCTTCATTAATACCCATTCCTCTTGAAAGTCATGTAGGATTAGCTGGAAATTACACAAACTTTTACCCCCGATGCTCTCCATCAGGGAATATAGGATGTTTTGGACTGGAGTTCATGCTTTTTGAATTTTAGAAAGCACAATGGGATATTTTAAGAGAGTTTCACAACAAATCACTCATACAATAATCACTGGCTACAGTAGAGTATGGAGTGCCTCAGTTTCTTTGAAGGAATGCATCAGCCTTGGTGTTGAGAGAAAAATATGGCTCCAAGATTCCAGAGGCTTAATTGCTTACTGCCCCAGTCCTCTCAGTTTCGGGAGAACAGAAATACAGAGCAATAATTCATCATGTCCTTTCTTTCAAGTGAAAGAAACCAGACCACTGGTGTCACTTATATTATAAATACCAGCCAAGCTAAAGGATGGGATGAACAGACAGATAGATGAATGAGAAGAGACAGTCTTTGCAAGATTTCCACCGTGATCAATTTCAGTGTATATTATTGGAGGCTCAGCTATGCTAGGGCTTGAATCCAGTCAGGAGCATGAACATGAGGCAACCTCTGTCCTTTATCCTACTAGCCCCTGACAGTCTTTTTTATTTTGCATAAAGCTGTTATTAAATTTAAATGAGGAAGGCTGCTGCAGAACAGCAGGACTGTGACCTTCTGACTACATTTGTAGAACGCATTTTTGAGTATCCTGTGACAGATCTGTCTCTGTCACCTCGCCATCCAGCAGACACTGTATAAACACGAGGTCTGGCAGTCTTCACCACAACCCCTTTCACAATTTCCTTTTCAGGGTGGCTGATGTTACCCATTATGTAGCAGCATCTCAATTCCAGATAGATCTTGTTTCAGAAAATGCTGTAATAGTAACACAATGTATGTTTTCTTTCCAGTTTATACAATGCATCTTTCTGGGGCATCACAAATGAACTGTACAGGATTGCCCTGATTTCAGCTGTAAATAAAATGGGCTATAATTAGAACCCAAATTCAAACAAAATTAACCATAAGAGACTCTACAAAGTCTTCAAATGGAGGTGACATTAATAATTCATTATTACTCAGACAGAGCATATATAGTAAACTTTGGAACAAATAAGGTGGCTTTCATTTCAATTTACTCCCGTTCACTATTATGTAGACTGCTACATAACAGAATATCAAGCATATGACAGCGTGGAACAAACTACTGTGAAAAATTAAACAGCAGCATTGCTTTGATTGTTTCTAGCAGTTTGGTTTTATTTTTTAATGGAATGGACTGAAGTATTGCTCCAAAGTTTGTATTGTATTTATGTGCATTGTTTAAATAATTTTACTAGTATTACTAATTGTATGACTACTACTGGAAAAATGATTATAAAAATTGTCAGTTGTTATATTATAATTCTATTCAAATATATCAGCTCACAAAGACAATGCTTTGAGCTTTTCCCCTGCTCTCTTTGAGTCAGTATTTATAGATAATTATACTATATTACCATGGACTGTAACACACACACACACACACCTTCATCACAGTGTGGGGGTTGTGTACAGGTACCAAAACAATAGGTCCTGATTTCCAGTGTCGCTTGAACGAAGAGCATCTCAAAGTATGTTTGCCATTTTACCCATTAGGCTACTATCAGTCTCATGTACGCAGCTGTCAAGTACTGTCAAATTATGTGCAAAACACTAGGATGAGGTAATATATACTGGATATACAGTATATTGAATTTATAATATATATAATTGCCTCACTAAGTAAACACACAGGTTATTAGTAGCTCAATAGGTTCTCACTAACTGCACAGATCATCTAATCAGAAAATTTATAAATGCTTAAAATTGTGGGTAGAATGCAAAATGATGTCACACTATGCTGTATTGCGGAAAACGTTAAGGCTGCTAAAATAAATATTTTTATAATAAACAAATTACGCTTGTAGTGATGAACCCCCGGATAATCATCACTTGACTCTGCAGCTCCCCTGTATGTGTTTTAGCGTCTTTTAGCTCACTAGTTTCACAACCTGCCAATTCAATGTGTTGGTTCCGCCTCACCACTGCAGACAGCTGTGGAAAAAGAGCTTCTATAGGCTACCTGCCCAGCACCACATGGCAGATAGACATAGTTGGTGAGTAGCTGGTGAACATTAAAAGTAATTTAACAGCTAAAGAGCCAGATATTCACACCACAACAGAGCTAAAAATAGTGACTAGTGAATTCATATTTACTGGTGGGATAAAAATATGATCATAGATCCCCACAAGCTACTTTAATTGCAACTTGGTGTGTTGCCTCCAGTTGAAAAAAACATAAATTTGCATCTTATATAATCATATCAATTTTAATTCATTGTAATGCAGAGTAATGTAATGTGTGATAATGTGATTTGTATATTCTCCAGCCTTGATTTACAGCTATAATTTGTGCATAAATGGTGCATAATTTGTATAATTAGAAACTTGTGCTGATCTTGCATTCACACTCACACACTAGGATACTTACAGATATGCAATGGGGACAAATCGATACTCGCTAGGGCTGCACGATTAATCTAATCGCTATCGTGATGTCATCAAGTGCGATTACATAACCGCAAAAAGTGATTTAATAAAACCAAAAAAGTGTATGTGACGCTCTCTTCTTTGTGCGCGCTGCAGTCTCTCATTATCTCTGCCCACACCGGGCTCTCGCATGTGCCCATAAAAACAGATAAGTCTACGTGCAATGAGACAAATTTTTTATGAGCAGTGTGCGAGTATCTTTTAAGAGAACAACCTACCGTAACCCCCCGCCCTGCCACTAATCGTTCAAAACATAGTTGGACTCGTCACCGGAGCAACGGGAGAAATGCCGGTGCTCCGGTTGCTCTGTGACAGACAGAGAGACGTCGTCTACAGCTAAAGCAGTAAGACAGAAGAAAACTAGCAGAAGATAAGGAAGGTTTGGGTTTGGCTCATGGCCCATTTATCATATAGCTGTATCTGTGCCTTTTGTTGTTCAACATGTTCAACCTTTCATATAGCCGACGTGCTTTACGGGTACATCACTTTTCGTCAACCGACCAATCACAGCCTGGATAGGACAGGACATTAAAAAAGTTTGACGCGCTATAGCAAATCATTAAATGTTGAACAATATGATTATTGACATATTAGTACTTAGCATAAACAAATTAGAGACCGATGTTGAGCATTTTGCTTGCACAAGGATTTAATGAACAAAAACAACCCACAGAAATTAACTAGTGGTAAAAAAGGATACTATTATATGAAATTCTATTGAATGTAGTATTTAATATATTATTGTTATACTAACAATAAACCATTAACTAAAAATTATACTTTTTATTTAATACACTCATGTACAGTTCCCCCTTCAGGTTGTTGGTAGAGACTCTGCATTAGACAGATGTACATTGAGCCTGTGCCAGTATGCCAGTGTGCCCATATTTGCTGCTTCTAGCCGCCTCCTCCGTAGCAACTTGCTCCCCTTGTTCTGTTTCACTTGTTATTGTTATAAATATTGTTTAACTTTGTTCAAGATGAGAAATACACATTTCAGAAAATGTCAGTATTTCATGCATTCCTTGATAATTAATCAAGTAGATTCATAGTACCATTTGTTCCATTATAATCAAATCGCAATATTGTCCACAATCATCGCAATATAACTTTTTCTTCACATTGTGCGGCACTAATAATCAATAACTACCAAAAAAAAAAGGATTCCAGTCAGCTGATTACAGGGGTCCAATTAAGAGCTTTTTCTATCTCATAACGCATTGACGTGAAAAGCAGACTCTTCACTCAGAGACTGTCAAAGGTCTGTGGCTTGCCGAGGTTGTTACCGCACTGTTAAAACAGAGATCATAACTGTGTTCCTGCTGGAGCGTTGCAGCCATCATTATGAAGATGCAAATCTAACGGGCAATAGAAATTAAGCTATAAGAGATTGTTTATTTGGCCTGCATAAATTATTATACAAAGTCGCCCATGATCCTCCACACCCACCCTCCCCATCATCTAGAGGCTCTATCTAACCTGTGGCAAATCAGACACCTGCACAGGCTCCCTCATCGCCACTGGAATCAGCCAAAAGCAAAAGGCTGCTGAGAATGAATAAGTGTGAGTCGAGATGAGTTTACAGGCATTTGAAGGAACATGAATGTTAATGAGGGCAGATTAGGAAGCAGCAACAACCACCCTGGCAAAATACAAAACAGGCACTTTTGCTCAGCCTCACACCTTTTTAGCTGTGATACAAAAAAAGCAGGACATATTTGTGTGTGTTTGTATGCATCCATGCAAACGCACATACAATATAATGTTTTATATTTTAAACATACAGTAAATGTCCACAAATATTAAAGCTGCATACTGCACGTTCAGATGTTACATGCAAACATAATTTTTGTGTGTTACATACAAAGTAAAAACCCAGATTGCATAGCACACAGCAAAATGAAGCCCATCTGGATGACAAAGCACAAATAAGATCTGGAGCCCTCCTCAGCAAATTATTCTCCTTCTTTCAATCCTTTCCATTTCCCTATGATACACAGTTTTATTCTTGACATTAATTTGCTCTCTGGCGATCCCCTGGCCCCACCACTGCACCATAATAAATCTGATCCAATGCCTCAGTGCTCAAAGCCCACCATAGAGACAGAGTACTTACCAGGACTGTCATGCAGAGAATTCTAATTCAGGCAGCTCCATGTTGCCAAGGAAATTCAAAATGCCTCCGAAAGCATGGAGACAGGGATGCAGGATTCAAGACAGGCTACATTCAAATGGGACAGGGGGATATATGCAACGATGAGAATCCCTTGTCTGAGGGGCATTTGAGAAATGCCTCCGTCCTCTCCAGATGCGCTAAATCCGGCAGCACTGATAGGCTGACATGTAAACACACAGGCGGCACTGCTGGCTCACACGCGCTCACATACATGCTGCACCTAGCAGAGACAGAGAGGAAGAGGGAGGGGCAGCTGATGAGAGAGGTGGAAGGAGGAGCTGCAGTGCACTGGGAGAATTAGAGGCACAGATCACAGGCAGCGAGGGGAGTAGAAAGAAATAAACAGAAATGTTCTCTGATTTCAATGGCAGCATCTTCCTCTAGTTTTTGTTTACCGCAGTTTTCCTATGTATGGACAGATAGGAATGATCTGGTTAACTGGAATAAAGGCTGTCAGAGAGAATAAAAAAACAAAAGGGGTGTGTGTGTGTGTGTGTGTGTGTGTGTGTGTGCGCGCGCGGTGACAGAAGAAAGGAGGTTAGAGAGGGAGATGTATGAACGTGCAAATAAACCAGAGGGATGAATATGAGCAAAACAGTGAAGGGGGTTTATGAAGGGGAGGAGGGAGTGATGACACTACAGGGATATAGAGCAAGCAAAATTCAATTTCTGCAGTATGTAAACCTTTGCTAATAATCACACGCAACTTAAGACTGTGGTGGATGGGGATGGATAAGTCATTTTTCTGTTTTTAAAGATTTCTTGCCAGAGTTGAGGATTAATGCCTCCCATAGTGCAAATTGAAGTAATCATCAGACAAACTCACCTTGCTGTGAGGAGTGGGGGTTGGGGATGAGAAGCAGAGGCTTTACGATGCTAATGGGTGTATAGGGCTGGCACACACATGCTGGCAGTGCCAAGGAGGTTCCACAGTCAGGGAGTGTTTATGGGAGATTATGGGGCTGAGGATTTAGTGGAGTGGTGGTGGAAATGAAGGCTCCCGGCCACCGAGTAAAACGTGACAAATGTTGTAAGGCTTAGAAAAAGACATTTTAATTTTAATTACTTTAATTTTTTTCGTATATTTTTTTAAAACCAAGTTAGGGCATATACCTTCTACAAGAAAGTCCATTCTGCTTTCGTACTAAATCTGTTAGACAAACAGCAGTACACGGTGCTGAAGACAGCCAGTGTGGCACATCGCTGTGGTACAATAAAAAATACAGCAGGGAAAGAATTATTCAGGCAGTTGGAAAAGGGGAATCACTACACCAATACAACATAAAAGAAATTTATGGCTCATTTCACCCAACTAGAAGCTAATCTAAAAGAGATGAGTTATGCCCCATGTAAGAAATAAAACCAGATGAAAGGTGAGTGTTGAAGAAATTTGAATGGATGACGCCAAGGATAAGAACCACCCGACATGGAGCAGGATGAATTCATCTAATTTTTTATGCTTTGAATGGTTCTGTGCCCACTATGGCCACTTAGAAAAGATTGGACAGCTGATTCATGACATCTGCATTTACATTCAGTGGTGCTATGAATTTTCCTATTGCTGTGTTTGCAGATGAGCCTCAGAAACCATGTGACTCACAACCTATGATTTGTGAATGGATTTGTTAAACAGTTAAAACTAGGTATATGTTTGATTTGACTGTCTTTATTAAAATTCAGGCACTGTATTCCTTTAAGTAATATCTGCACATACGCAACAACTTTCTACTAAAATGCTTTTTTTTAGAATTGTTATGAGCCAGCCAACCATGGATCTAGTATGATGGCAGCCCAATTATTCTATTAATACCTTGTCATGGAAAGAAAGTTATTAATGCTTCTAAATACTCTTACATGTATGTTCATTTGTGTCTATATGTGTGTGTGTGTAGCGGGTGTGGTTAGGGGCGTGTGAAGGACGACGCGAGATGGCTTCTTTCAGAACACAATGCACATATTAATTGCCTTCCTCTGCTTGCCTCAGCAGTGCAAAACGAGACTGCAGACACCTTAATGTATTTAAAATACATTACATGAGGTATTTTGCTCAGAGTGCACATTTCTCATAGAGGGCCATTAACACTGTGCACAAAATATTAAGCATTGAATGCAACAAATACATGACAACAGTACATATGTTTCCTTAAGACAAAATAGCATAACAGTGACACCTGGTGGGCTGAATAAAAAGTGTGTGAGTGAGGAGACAGCGACAACGAAAATTACATTAATAAACAAAAGGAAAACACATATCTGTAGAACACAATGCCTTCTGGCTTCCTCTTACTGCACCTCTGCTTCTTAAACATACAAAAATACAGCGTTTACTCAAGGAAAGAGACGCTGAACTCTCCGACGAACTACATTGGCCACATTACACCGCCTGCCTGCCGTGGTAAAATGGCTGCTAGGAAGTTAAAATCAAAACATTGCTAAAACTTGTTTTAACGGTCGAACTAACACAAAACTGCTACGTAACATAACTGCATTGACATCAGACAATACGTGTTGAAAGTTATAACGTAAATGGTTCAATTTCCCAGGAAAACAATACATTAGCCCAGCAGCACCTTTCCACAGAACTTACCCTCAGCAATACAAAACAACACTGAGGGAAACTGAGCACTGTGGAAGCTTAGGAGGTACAGAAGAGATAGTGTGCAGCTAGGGTCATTTCCACAGGGAACATTAGCAAAAATAAAGATAAATAAAAATAACTCATTGAGATAAAATTCACAAAAATTCAATAAAATTATTAAAATGATGCTAATTTGAAAATAGGAATCATTCAAGTGCATTTTATACTCCATTACACACACACACACACACACACACACACACACATATATATATATATATATATTTTGGTCATTGGCTAAGCCCTGCACTCCTTAGTTACTGTTGCTACGTCAAGCTTTCCCTTCACAGCTGTACCACTCAAAATTCCTGTTGCCTGTCCTGATTTCTCCAAGTTCACTGTTAACATTTTATCTGAGTTGAGTTTCAACACTGGGATGGAAGAAAATGTTGGAAAATGTTGGGGTTATTCAGTCTTGCCCTGTTGCCTGTTGTTATTACTGACATTAACTGCTGACGTAGTTTGTAATTTTATAGCAGTCACTGCAAATAGGTCAATGTGACATAATCTACAAATATGCAGATAGCCAAAGCAGTAAGACTAACTACTATATAGCATAATGGCAAAAAAGTGTGGATTTAACACCAAACTGTGTTGAGTATGTGTTTTCAGACCCGCTATATCTGGTATTAAGTGTCTCTCAGAAAGCTGCTAAAGTGTGATGGGGTCTGTCACTACCAGAAAACTGCTTCAGCCTGATGAAGAACCAAGCTGCTAACAGAGCATGAGTGGTCAGCTGTAAAGACGCTTGCACTCAGCTCTACACGTGGAAGCCTAAAGGCCTTAGTCATTTTGACTCGTTCATGTCATGTTCAATCATGATAATGAGGAGGAGGTTGCCCATGAGTTAAACGCAGAGCTTCACAAAATATGGTTACAGTGAATGTGGCGCCTTGAAAATTAAAGGAGGTTCTATGTTCATAGCTCGTAATCTGATTTTATTTGTTGTGTGACAACAGAAAAATAGAACACAAATTAATATGCAAGATTCATCTATAAAAATAAAAAAAACACCCACTGCATGAGGCCTTTGTTTTTCTCTAATATCGACTGAAGGAGTGGTGTCTCAAACATCAAAGATGGTTTCTCGCGCTTAATGAGAGTGAGTTTGAGTTTGTCATGTTTAGTCCCCCAATATTATCATTCCTACCCAATTGTCCAAAATGCTGCTGCAAAAGTTCTTACTGGCATCAAAGGGAAACATAATTTCTCTTGTTGCAGACGCTCTCTTTACTTGCTTCCAGTACATCAAAAAAATTATTTTAAAATCCTGCTGTTTGTTTGTAAGGCACTCACCGGGACCTGTTTGTACTGTATATCTCATATATGTTAACCTGTCAAATCTTCTTGAGATCTTTAGGTATCTTAAAGCTGCTAGTTGCCTCTTATCCACCCATTCACACATTCAACATGTTCAATTTGGGGTTCAGTGCTGTGGTCAGGAAGAGCTGAGGATCCAACGGCCACAATACAAGACAAAGGTTCAAAGCAAACCGGGCATACTTAAGCAAACTACACACTGATTGACCATCTTTGTACTACTAAGGATATGAGCTCAGGCTATGATCTCAAACCCAAAAGAAGACGCATTTGTAGATCTGAGGTTGATTTGTGTTTTAGCATACAAATAAATGTTTAAGTGGCACTGGAAGTGTACTGTATACTTAGTGATTTCAAGCTTAGTGAATCATAAAGTCTAACTAATCAGTGCAAGTCCAGGAGAGATGTCTTGCGAAGACAATCACTCACATGGGCTGCAAATTAGGTGAACAGTGGTGGTATGAGCCAGAAAGAGGGGTGAAATAATCTTATACACCAGCCTAAAGGTAGGAAAAACACAATTTTAACTTGCTTATAAGTTCAATATATAGTTTCTTTTTCTCGGCTTGATTATCAGTGTCAAAGCACAGATAAAAATCACAAGGACAGCCCTCACAGGACTTTGTCAGTATTCGGGTAAAGCAAATGTTAAACAGCAGTAGACATGGTGCTCAATTATTCATTTTTGACAGATGGTGACTAAGAATGTGTGAAGAATGGCAACGAATCAGTTGAATAAAAAGACGATGGATGATTGGCAGCCAGACAATAAGCCAGGCTAATGTTTAATTTAATTAACTGTATCTCAAAAAAGTCACACAAAGCACTGATCATTTAAGTGTATATTGTATCACTGAAGAGTAACATATGGATGGACAGTATGGTTAAGATCAAAATGGTATTTATATTTTAATTAAATGTCCATAGTCTGTTGTTTTTGTAAAATCAGCAACACCTTTTCTAAGTGATAGTTTGTCCGCTTAGATGGATAAATGTATCCCCAGCAAACCTGCCAAATTTATAGTTGATGAGAGTTGTCACAGTGTTGCCACAAAGGCCGACGTAGTAAATCTTTCATTAGCTGACACCTTTGTTCAAGCAACACAGTGACTGATGACTGGCATGATATTATTTGGTAGAAATAAATTGTTGTGCAGAAATTACCAAAATATGAGTGTCCAGGATACCGAAATACACAAGTGATGCGAATTTTCACTTTTCTTTCTTTCTTTATTATCTTAATAAAACATTCTGGCTCACAAAGCCACATAGTGTATATTTGGAGAGCCACAGTTTAATTTGTCAAATGGCATTTACACTATATCTTAGAGTTAGTGCTACAATCCGTTAACCAAGTGTATAACTAAAAGGTAAAACCATAAGCAAAATCCCTTTGTAGCTTAATTTTTTAAAATGTATTTGTTGCTGTGAAAGGTCTGCTTACAAGAGTAATATTCATAAAACAGCCCTGTATTATCTATATGATCCAATGAGGAACAGAACTATAATTTATCTGGTCAAACAATGACAGACTGGGGTTGGACCATTTGTTGGTCTAAATTTATAAAAGAGCACCACCCAGTGGATTAAAGCAGTAATAACAATTTCTGTATTTTATCTGTATTTAAGCTTTTTTTTGCTAATTTCCTTCTGCATTTTGGGGTGTTAGTTTTTGTGAAACAGTTTATCTGCAGCTGCTTGCCATAGGCCTGAAGCCAAACAGAACCAAAATATGAGCCATTACATCTAAGACAAAACATGTTATTGTCTACATCTCATTACAGCTTAAACCCAATTCACAAATTTTATTTAGCAGCAGTGTTATCATTATTTATCATTTAAAACAATCATACCAGCTGCACAGCCAGACACAAAAACAAGTCCACGTTTCTGCTAATATTATCACATGCAGCTGAATTTTTTTCTGCAGGGACACGTGCAATTTTACTCAGTGAATAACCCCCAGAACAGCGAAAATAGACAGCTTCTTCTGGCATGATGATGACTGCACTAAGAAAAGCCTGTGTGCACTCTTCAGTAGATATGTCACGCTCAAGTAGCGCACACATCTGCTGAATTCCATTTTCTGCTGCAGTGAGGGAATATGAAGAAGAAAGAGAACACCTGTCCCTAAAATTATGGAGAATGCCAGTGACCACAGAACTGATTGTGCCCAAGTGCATAATTGCGTAAGCTATGAACCATGTCCACCATCCCTGCCTTGGCAGTCCTGCACCGTTTACTGTGAACTTGTTTACATGTGAGAATCTAAACTGATTTTGTGTATTTTCAATCATTTTACTCTCTAGTAAAATTATATTCACAATGTATTATGTTTTAGGCTCATTTAGCTTAGATTTATGCCATATTTAATATTTTTTATGCTACTTGCCTACCTCAGGCATGAGTGAAACCGCAAGTACAGCTACAAATACCTTGGGGTGCCGCAGGCTAACGGAAACCATGAGGAGGCAGCAAGGAAGTCCGCCACAGTCAAATACGTACAGAGAACAAGGCAGATCCTGAAAAGTCAGCTCAATAGGAAGAACAAGATCCGAGCCATCAACACATACACTCTGTCGGTCATCAGATACTCCACTGGTATAATAAACTGAGGAGATAGAGGCCACATCAAGACAAGAAAGCTCCTCACAATGCATGGAGGGTTTCACCCCAAATCCAGCACCCTGAGACTGTACACCAGTGCACAAGTGTAGCGAGGGGCTAGTGAGTGTCAAGACCACAGTCCAGGATGAGACAACAAAGATCCAAGAGTACATCAGGAAGATGGTGAATACCTCAGGCAGCAGAAACCTGAGGGTGAGGACAAGGAAGACAAAGAACCTTAATGGAGAGACAAGCCGCTGCACGGCATGTAGCACAGACAAATAGAAGAAGTGGCTGATATCAAGAAATCTGGAAAAGGACAGCACAGAAGGCGGCACAAGAACAGGCACTCAGTACAAGATCAATAGAGGCTGGGGTCTACCACACCAGGCAGGACCCCAGGTGCAGACTGTGCAAGGATGCCCCTGAGACAGTACAGCACATAACAGCAGGGTGTAAGATGCAGGCAGGAACAGCGTACATGGAACGCCATAACCAGGTAGCTGACACAGTGTACAGGAACATCTGCCATGAGTATGGACTGGAAGTCCCAAGGTCAAAATGGAAGACAACTCCTAAGGTAGTTGAGAA